ACAGGCCACAGCATTTATTATAACATAAATAAATTACTGCATAACACATCCATAACTTTATTTATTAAACTCTTCTTTCTGTTAGAAATAAATAATCATAAATTAACATATATACATATAATAACTAAAACATAGTGCTATGCAGAGACCCAACCGTCCTTGCCAATAAACATCCAGTGGTTCCTAATCACCACTTCCTCTCACCTCCCCCCTAGTCATAAAAAATCCTTCCAATGCCCGCCATCAGCCGACCTTATCCACGCTCGATGGGCACGATACCTCAGGCAACCTAATGTTTAACCTTTTGAAGCAGGGGAGGTTGAGACCTGCAAAACATAAAAACATAACCCCTCAAACGTGGAAATGGCCTGTTCCACCGCTTCTTGAAGGGCGAGATTGAAAAGGTCGAGCCCGACCTCTGTTAGTTGTACCCCATCCCCCCGAAAAAATTGAGCCGCCTCCAGCTCAAAAACCCTGTGGCGGTCCGGGATCCCCAGAACCTCCAAAACAAACTGGGAAACCTGCCTGTTTAACTTGCGTCTGCAACGCTCCATCGCACTCTGGCTCCTGGCGCCACGCCAATAGTTACAGGTCAATGACTTCAGACCACACTAAGCGCACACTGGGAAACAAATTCAAAATGCGGGCTAGGTCCTGCTTCACCCCTGAAATCAAATCCCAAATGGGCACCAAGCCCAGATCATTCCCCTCCAGGTGGATCACCAGGACACTCGGCGCCCCCAGGAGATGGGACAACTGCACCAACTCGGGTAGGAGGTGGGACCACCTCATACCCCTTGCCCCGAGCCATCGAACCTCTGCTTCGGAAGGCGTGAAACCCAACCTTTCACCTCCAGGCCGAACCACCGCACGCTGCCCAGCCCAGTAAACATAAGAGTGCCTGATGATCCAGATCCTGGGGGGAAACGAAACTGCGGAAAGAAATAATGTCAATAAACCGGCCGGACGAACATAGGAAACATAACGTCTCGAGTCCCACCTACCAATCCTTTGAACCACCTGCGCCGGCATTCCAAGCCTAGAGGCCTCGGTAGCCGCCCCAATATGGAACAAATGGCCCCCAAACTCCCTGCTATCCAATCCTACAGCTTCCAGCCCCAAACGAAACACTCTAATAAACTGGAAATGGGAAAGGAAACTACCATCTCCGTGCACCAGGAGTGGCAGCGTGGGGGAAGGGCGCAGAGCACAATATTCCCCAAAGGACCAAACAGGACAGATGCCGGAACCCAGCACGGACCCCAACCGGACCCACTTACCCCTCCCCAAGACATCCATCTTAGAGCGGCGGATCCTGAATGAGATCCGGTCAGCGGTGCATAATACGTCCCCGAGCAGCACCCCACCCACTTGCTGCCGGCTGGGGCACACCAGCTCCCCAATCCGCATTGCCCCAAAAAATGCCAAGGAAAAGGCTAGCCGAAAGAGCCGAACCTCAAAATCCGAATGGCAAACCCTGTGCAACGCCTCACACAAAGTAGTTAGGAGCGTGCCCGAGACAGGACGCCTCGAGTCTCGCGTAGACACCCTCCTCGCCTCAAACCCTTCAGCGCCTGCCGTATGATGAATGCCTTGGTAGCGTCGTCCCAACCCCACAACTTAAACAGGAAGTTGAGCCCCGCTAAGCGTGCCGAAACGGCCGAGGGAGACAACCCCGCAACCTCCCATTCCCTAAAGAGAAGAACCAAACCCTGCAGGCGAGCGGAGGAGTCCCTGAAACCCCCATTGGACCTCTCCCACCCATCCCATTCCCTCCAAACCTTGTTATAGCACCACGAGGGCCCACTCACTGCCCTACCCCCCCCCACTGGCCGCGGGGGGACCTGGACCGCTGCAGGGCGGACTGCATCCGCCGCCCACCGCCCCCGGCCCGCGATCCTCCTCCGGCGGCTGGGGTGGATGGTGTGGAGGGGGGAGGAGGAGTAGGCCGCGCAGCAGCCGCACCAGGAGGCCACGCAGCAGTTGCAGGCCGCATCCCCGGCCTGGAAGTAGCCGGCCGGGCAGCTAAGGATGTAGCAGGCCACGCAGCAGTGGCAGGCCTTGTGGCTGAAGGCCGTGCCACCTGCGCGGCCACAGTAGGCCGCAGATTCCGGCCTCCTGTTGTATATGTCAGGACAGACTTGAAAACGAGAGAAATGTCAATGTATGTTTCCTGGTAAAATATTTTATAAACAAAATAAAAATGTTACTACAGAGACATTGTCTGGTCTGTTTTTCATCCATTTGAACCATAGCTGATTTGGAAAGTGTTAATAAAGTGTTAATAAATAAGAGTTAATAAATAAGAGTTAATAAAGTGGCGAATAGTTGTGACTGCATAAGAAAAAAGCACAAAAGCATACAAATTAGTAAAAAAAAGCTGCATATAGCTGCAAATGTATATTACAGGGGTCCTCAAACTCTGGCCCCCCAGACAGGGCCGGATTAACATAGGGGCTGATGGAGCTGCAGCTCCAGGCCCAGGCCCATGGAATAGGCCCATTGATTTATTAAAAAAAAAAAATTATATAATCCACACACTACTCTTAGGGATTCCACCTGCCTTTTATTTTATTGGCACAGCTAGTATTTGAGGCTGCCTGGCTGGTGCCAACATTACAGTGATACTGGCAATACAAATGCTGGTATTTTTCTCAGTATAAACAAGAGATTACTATGCAATACCAGCACTGGCCAGTAGGGGTCACTGTGTGTGGAGACAGGCAGGGATAGGAAGTTCCAGCATATCCCTCCCTGCCTATCTATACTCACTGATCTGCAGGGGTACAGCTAAAGAGAGTCCAGACAGCAACTCCCACCCTGCAGAGACAGCCTACAGCTCAGGGAAGTAAGGGATGGGGGAAAGGCTGCAAGGAGACATGGGGACACTGAGACACTAAGGGACATTGGGAGACATTATGACACAGACACATGAGGACACAGTGTCCCCATGTCTCCCAGTGTCCCTGGTGTCTCAGTGCCCCTAGTCTCCCAGTGCCCCTAGTCTGCCAGGGTCTCACTGTCCCCATGTCTCCTAGTGCCTCCATGTCTCCCAGTGCCTCAAGTATCTCAATGTCCCCATGTCTTCAAGCTAGTGTCCCTAGTGTCTGTGGCCCTGGTGTCTCCTTGTCCCCATGTCCCCCAGCCAGTGTCTCTAGTGTCTGTGTCCATGGTGTCTGTGTCCCCATGTCTTCAAGTGTCCCCTATTTTACCAGTGTCCCCATGCGTCCCAGCCAGAGTCCCCTAGTCTCCCAGTGTCACTGGTGTCTCTATGTCCCTAGGTCTCCCCGTGTCCTCAGGTCTTCCCGCTTTTCTAGTGACATGGGGACCCTGGGATACATGGGGACACAGGGAGACATGGGGCATTTAGACACTGTGATACATAGGATCACTGGGAGACCTGGGGACACGACACTAGGGGACACTGGGAGACATGGGGCACTGAGACACTGATACATAGGAACACTGAGACTTAGAGTAATCAACACATGGGGGCACTAGGAGACATGGGGTCACTGGGAGGAATCCATCTATACAGCAGAATCAAACTAAGTAGTTTTTTGGTGATTTTACAGCATTTTCTCTTATGTCACTCCTTGTGATTTACATCATGTGATGTCACCCATACATATTTAATTATGCAAATTAGCAAGGCCGGTATGTTTTTCCAAGAAAGGTGGCAACCCTAACTACTTTTCACATACTCTTACTTAAGTATGGAAACTTAAGAGGGATGTATGGGAACAAAACTTGTGTGGACTGGCTGACAATGAATATAGTTAAAGGGACACTAGAGTCACCAGAACAACTACAGCTTATTGAATTTGTTCTGGTGAGTAAAATCATTACCATCAGGCTTTTTGCTGTAAACACTGTCTTTTCAGAGAAAATGCAGTCTTTACATTACAGCCTAGTGATAACTTCACTGGCCACTCCTTAGATGGCTGTTAGAGATCCTTCCTGGGTCATGGCTGCCTAAAATGCATCCAAACATTCAGTGTCTCCTCCCTCTGCATGCAGACACTGAACTTTCCTCATAGAGATTCATTGATTCAATTCATCTCTATGAGGAGATGCTGATTGGCCAGGGCTGTGTTGGAATCATGCTGGCTCTGCCCCGATCTGCCTCTTTGTCAGTCTCAGCCAATCCTATAGGGAAGCACTGTGATTGGATTAGGCCACCACTTCTAATGATGTCAGCAGACTGTTTGTTTTTCTGAGTCTAACAGCATGCAGAGTTACAGCTTCAGGCTTGAATACAGTAAGATTTTGCTATATTTATGGAGGCATGAGGGGCCCAGGGGGGCTAGATGGTGGTGTTAACACTATAGGGTCATGAATTCATGTTTGTGTTCCTGACCCTATAGTGATCCTTTAAGGTAATGCTGACTTTGGTCTCTCTAACACTGTGGCATGTTCCCTTTCTTCTACACTCACTACATACATCTTTTCTCTGTCCCAGACTATATACCAGGAGCTTCTGCCTGCTATTAAGAAGGTAAGGAGACAAGTGGACCAGCGAGTGCTAGGGGACAGTCCTTAGAAAGCGTTGAGTGAGCGCATCATTAGATGCATTTATGCCAAGCTCAGGGTACTGTCTGTATAGTATGCCCTTAGTTGGCCAGCTGCATGATTGGCAGGCAGCCTGACATGCATTCATACCAGGCTGGCCTTTTAATTCTTTGGGCAGACATATCCTCTTTGTGGGCATGTTCGTCCCTTTTGGCAGGTTACGTGATTTGTGTCAGTGGCACACCCTTTTACCGTGCCCATTGACTTCCTGCTTGACTGGACACTGCTGTTAGGGGTTATGGATTTACTTGAAAGATGAAAACATAAATTAGTGAGAGATTAGCCTAGGGTATGTGTTTTCTTATAGCTGCTGTTTTCTTTCTCTCCAGCACCATCTCCATCAGATACAAGACGCTTGGGAGGTTTTACTGTTTTTGGTCGATATGATTCTGTAATTAGGCCCGTCATAATTGTCAGCACCAGGCCCACTGGGCTCTTAATCTGGCACTGCCCCCAGATGTTGCTGAACTACAACTCCCAGGATTCTCTGGCTATCTATGTAATTCAAAGAATCATGGGAGTTGTAGTTAAGCAACATCTAGGGAGCCAGAGTTTGAGAACCCTGGTATATTACAAGGCACAGAGGCCTAGAAATAAGAGAATAAAGTGGGGAAAGAAATGCAAATGCATACTACAAGGCACAGAGGCCTAGACAAAAGTGAATAAAGTTGCGAATGGCTGCAAAAGAATATTGAATAAGTGAATCCAGCGGCCTCTATATTAAAAGGCAGAGAGGGCTGGGAATAAGTGAATCCAGCGGCTATATTAAAACGCACAGATGCCTAGCTAGATTAAAAGGTCTAGGAATAGAAAGATTGAGTTAAAATTGGCAGGAAACCCTTACCATTCAGATGAAACCAATAAAAGGCATAATCAAATACACTTTATTTCTTCACTGCAACTTTAAGTTCCAATTCCACAAACCAACTGGATCAAATCCACTTCATTTCGACACTGTAGCTTTAAGGTCTGCTTATGCCATTTTACAGAACACCAGTGAGACCTCTCTTGGTGTATTGATACTCTGGTTCATCGATTGCAGGGTAAATCAGTAAAACAGGTATTGCTTTAGACCTGAGGAAGAGAGGAAAACTCTTGAAAGCTTGTCTTTTATGCATTATGTTAGTCCAACAAAAAGGTATCATTGCATACTGCAATACTCTGGTATTTTGGCATCTTCTTGTCCAATGGACAAATACAATTAATCCTATCTAAACTCTATATATATATATATATATATATATATATAAACAATAAGGCTGCACACACCATGCATGCATTTCTTGTGCTGAAAACCCCCCACTCGACTTATACTCGAGTCAATGTCTGTATTATGGCAACAGGCGGTCCTGTTGGGGGCTGGCAGTGAGCTGTAACTTACCTTTCCTGCAGCTCCTGTCAGCTCCCTTCTTCTGCGTTCTGGTCAGCTCCTCTGTCAGCTCCACTGTAATCCTCGCGAGAGCCGTGGTGTCTGAGCATTGCCACAGGTTACTGTGGCAACGCTCAGTGCGGCACTCAGACCGCGAGACTTACAGTGGAGCTGACAGGGGAGCTGACCGGCACAGAGGAGAAGGGAGCTGGCAGGAGCTGCAGGAAAGGTAAGTTACAGCTCACTGCCAGCCCCCCTCCTACACAGCCCATGCCACTGGACCACCAGGGAATGAGAGCCCCCTCCTTGGCCAGCTAACAAGCAGGGAGGGGGGACAAAAATAAATAAATAAAAATTTAAATAATATTAAAATAAAATAAAAAAATTAATAATATAAAAAAAATAATAATAATAATTTAAAAAATAATAAAAATGCCCACCCCCCACCAAGGCTCTGCATCACATACACACACTGCACTCACACACACACACACACACTGCATTCATACCCACACACACTGCATTCATACACACACACACACACACTGCATTCATACACACACTGCATTCATCCATACACACACACACTGCATTCATACACACACACACACACTGTATTCATACACACACACACTGCATGCATACACACACTGCATTCATACAAACACACATTGTAAATAAATATTCAATTAATATAATTTTTGGGGGATCTAATTTTATTTAGAAATTTACCAGTAGCTGCTGCATTTCCCACCCTAGTCTTATACTCGAGTCAATAAGTTTTCCCAGTTTTTTTGGGGTAAAATGAGGGGTCTCGATTTATATTCGGGTCGACTTATACTCGAGTATATACGGTACTCAACAGCAATTTCAGGTCTCAAAGAATGTCATTGTTTTATTTAAAACACCTCACCTAGGCAAAAATAATGGTGGTTCTGTTACAGTATATGATCATACATAGCAAAAGCCTGCCACAAGGCCAATGGTTAGGTTCTGTCCTAGCAACCTAATGCCTGCTCTAATGAGATTAACTAATTTACTTGGAAAATCCTTCCTCTTGAGGCTCTCTGCAATGCAAGGTTAAATATGACCCTGGAATAAGGCACCTTGACAGGGAAGTGTGTAAAACAAGGGAGTTTGCATGGACTCCCAAATATATTTATATATGAACCCAAGTGGTATATTTTGCACCTCGTTCTTGCACCTTGCTGGTGTACTGATGCATATAAAGTAAATATGAATGCAATATAATTAAAATGCACTATAATAACTAAGTGAATATACTGCTTTAGCAGTCTTTATAATATAAGCATTTGTCACATTTGTGTTGTAGAGAACATCCACTTTTGACAGTGTTTCATTTCCTCTATGGTAACTTGTTTACATAACAAATTTGTTACATAACACATTTACAGTATAAGTCATATCATTTTAAATCATGTGCTTCCCTTTTAAAATTAGATCTTTCTTGAAAAGAACATTTTTTTTTTTAAATACAGTGGGACCTCGGTTTACAAATTTAATGCGTTCTCCGGGACTTTTCTTATTGCGAAACATTTGTAAACCAAAACACGGTTTCCCATAGGAATGCACTGAAAACCAATTAATCTGTTCTGGAGGTCAGAAAAAATTCAAAATGAGCTGGCATGGAAACCAACCCACAATGTCGAATATACAATAAAAGACATGCAAACGACAAAGCTCAGCTCCCTACCTTTCCACAGCTTGAGAAATGCACCAAAAAGTCCCAAAACAACGGCAAACAATTTCCAGAATGGCTCCAAAACTCGATGCTCAAGCCGCTCCAACATCTCCACACTCAATGCCACGTGCTACCTACAGGCTCCAGCATACAGAGGGTGGTGCTATAAACCTCCCAGGTGCTATGCATCCTGAGGAAGCTTGCTTTGTATTGCGAAAATTTTTTGCAAACCGAGGCATTATTTTCAATGGATTTTCATTTGTAAAGCAAAAATTACGTTAACCAAGGCGTTTGTAAACCGAGGTCCCACTGTATATAGTAGTTATGTGATATGATAACTTACTCTTATTTTTAGGAAGAATTCCTTTGGTTCTCTTTGGAAAATAAGTCATGTATTGCCTTGTAGATTTTCCAACAAATAATTACATAATTTGGCTATTCAGCAGAGGTCCGTCTTAATAGTCTTATCTGTTGTCCATTTAGGCAATGTGGACAGTTTGGAGTGTTAATATTAATGTCTAATAATTTTTTATTGACATGACATGTAGTCATGTGACTCAGGATTTGTCACGTGACCCAAAACATTTAATTGTATGTATTTGTTTTATTATACACACTTTACTGTCTTTATTGTACATTTGTTTTCAATTCAGTTTGAGTAATGTCATAATTGTGTTCCCATTATTTTGCACAAAGCTCTCTTTTTTTTGCACATGGCACCTTAAATGTGATTGGCTATTTAAATTAGCTCATTTTGTGTTTTGTGTTAGCTTGAGAAATTCTCCTGTGGGATCCAAAATGTTTTATGGATTTCCAATAAACCTGCCTAATACTATCTAGATGTGCTCCCATTTGATTCTTTTTTCATTATCACTGCTTGTTGGTTATGGGCTGTAAATGTCAGGTGATATGTCAGTCTACCACTAGCTTCCCAATGAGAAAACCGGGAATTGAAAAACTCACTGATTTGAAATTTCATGATTAGATCTTATGTTCAAATAATATGTAGTTATTACAGCACATACAGCTGTGCTCAAAACTTTGCATACCCTGGCAGAAATTGTGAAATGTGTGCATTGGTTTTGAAAATATGACTGATCATGCAAACTATTTATTATTATTCAAGGATAGTGATCACATAGTTGTTTAGATCCTTTTTAAATAATAATGATAACATAAATTACCCAAATGGCCCTTATCAAAAGTTTACATACCCTTGTTTGGCCTTGTTAAAGATGCTGCCCCTTTTTTCCTATCATAGCAAAAAATGGGAGCCCACCCCTCACCATGTGCGCACCGCCCACTAGAACGGCGCCCGCACACACTCATTTACATTTACCACTACTACATTTCCCAAGCGGCTGAGTGCCGCGATACATATGACCACTTACGGTCTGACGATTCCTAGTCCCCACAATACCGCGAGCTACATCGTTTGCTTCACGCTGCCACCTATGACCCGCGCACTACATTTCCCAACATGCAAAGTGCATGTTTACACGCGAGTGACGTGACGCACTTTATTTATACATTTCTAAGTCTATACACCTCGTTTTTAAATAATTTATCTTTAAAAACTCTTTTATATTCATTTACAATCTATGTGATTTATAAATGTGATTCTATTGGCTACTGAAAAAAAAATTTTGGCGCCAATTTTTTATTTATTATGTACCTATATATACTCTTACCTGCCAGGTTTTTAATGTTATCCCATTTTGAAAAAGCCCTAGTGGCGAAACGTGTAAATGGTTTTATTATTGTGTAATTTATATAATTAAAGATTATTTGGTTACTATTTGTGCCAACTATCTTTCTACATACTTTTTTACTTCTACCTGGCATCTTATCGATTTTATCACGTACTTACAAGCTTATCCGAGGTGGTGATCATACCACCAACGCTGTTACCATAGTGCAGTCGGTCTGCACTATACTTGTAAGTACATTTTCATTTTTTTATCAACGTTTATACTTTACCAAACAGTGAGCACTATTAGCTCATTTTATATATCCCACTCCTGAGAGCTGGACATTATCCCATCCAGAGGACAATCATCCATATATCCCATAAGCGGGGATTATTCCGCGCTGGCTATAACTCATTTAAATGTGAGTGGAATATATATCTTTTTATCACATACATTGACCCTAACACTCTGTACGATTGGTCTTTTATCTTATGTCTTTCATATAACGAGAACAATCTGATTATTTTAAACAGAGAGGAGACCCCTTCATCAAAAAGCACTTTGAAAGACATTTATTGCCACAGTGCAACTTCTAATCTTTTTGGACTATTTTATATACAATACCAACTATTCTGTTTGCATTTTTTATATGTCTCATTTATATGCTTTATAATATCTGTAGTCCACATTGATATATTTTGGCGCAGCCTTGCATTACTGTTGTTGTTGTCTTCCATTCTCATTATAGAGGGTTAGAGGGTTACCCTCTGCTAGGCCACTGCCCATCCACTTTTTATTATAAGCGCTAACCTCCTTTATCTTTTTACATCTTGTTAAAGCTACACAAGGTCACACACACAGGTTAAAATGACAATTTAAGATTAATTCCCCACACCT